CCCAAAGTACTCTAAACAAAATCAGCAGGTTGCTGGACCTTTCAAAACACTCTTTAAAAACATGCCAGTATCATTGCCACTGCCTTGGTGCCACAACATTCTAGCTTAAAGGAAGAGCACGTGAACCCAGGCTGTAGTCTTTTATGGGAAACTGTTTAGATGGGATTGACTACATAAGAATAAGACTATGCAGGGTAACCACAGTCCTTGGCCATTATGGCACTGCATTATCCTAAAGGAAAAACACTATTGCAGAGAAATTGGAGTTTCTCTCTTCCTCATGGTAAAGCTAAAAATAAAGACATGGTGCTAAAGCCAATGGTATTTGCTTTTCATTGCGAAAAAGGTGAAACCAGGCAGGTTACTAAATATAAAGACAAAAGCATATACACTGATCTATGTGATCTCAAACATCCAAATTATTGTGCTATCATACCAAGAGATTTTCCATATAAACCTCTTTATATCACCTCAATTATCTATGTGCTCTCCTATGTAAATAGGTTGTTTGCCTAGGGGTGCTAGTCATTACTTTGTGCCATTGAATTATTTCAATTTAAATGACTAAAACTTATTTACCGTATCCTTTGACACCCCCACTTACAAGGATTACCAGACACCTTGCTCTGGGAGGACAAGAACCAACTCTCACACTGTAAACTGTAAACTATACAGTTATTTATTTATTTAAATGCCAAGTCCTTTCCAAAGCCTTCTGTGAGGGGCTGTCCTTAGCAGGAGATAATCTGCTTCCTTGCTTCTTGATTGTGTTGAATGTCACTGATTCCTTTACTGTAGTACATTCTTACTATGACTATTTCAAGCTGTTCAAGAATAAAAGGCACTCTTCCTCACAAAACAGCTAGAAGCCCTGTCCTTCACATCAAAACTATAACTCAGCCATGGGTAGACACATATTAATCACGCTAAATTATAGTATGGCTATTTTTTCTCCTAGTGCAATTATCTTTGGCTTTCAGACAAAAATGAATCATTAGGGTTCTGAATCTCTTCTGGCAAAGAAATACACAGTGTGAGCTGAATGCTCAGCACTGAGTGTCGTTAGCACAAGTTCTATAGACGTGAACTGGCCAAGTTAATCCTCCTTCATTATCTCCATTAGCTAGCAATGTGCATGGAGTCACTGCACATAATTACTGCTTCAACAGACACGGGCGTTTGAAATATTAACTTTCCCACAGCCTCCAAATCTTCAGTAAGCAGCTCTCAACGATTCATTATATTAATAATATATGTCACCACATTCCTATCACTTATGCATTAGACTAAACAACATCCATATTACAAACCTCCCAAAATAATTTTTAGTATAACTCATTACCTTTTAGCTACTGTAATTATAACGGCACCTAGGTACCAGAAAAATAAAATAATTTTACCATGGCTTGTAAGCAGCCAGTCTCATAACTTATTCTGCTTTTATTCATGTTTTAACATGTGAGAATATCTTATACCACAAAGTACAAAATATTTTTAAATATATATACATATATTTAAAGATTTATTTTATTTATTTGAAAGGCAGAGTTACAGGGAGAAGGACTGGGAGAGACAGAGAAAGAGATCTTCCATCTGCTGGTTAATTCCTCAAATGGCTACAATGGCTAGGGCTAGGCCAGAGCAAAGCCAGGAGCCAGGAGATTTTTCCAAGTCTTCCACGTGGGTGTGGAGTCCCAAGCATTGGGGCTACCCTCCACTGCTTTCGCAGACACATTAGCAGGGAATTGGATCAGAAGTGGAGCAGCCAGGACTCAAACCAGCACGCATATGGGATGCCTAACTTGCTATGGCACAGCACCAGCCCTAAACGAATACATTTTTACCCTATCATTCTCTCCAAAGATGTCATTGCTAGCATCAACTTGTGCTTATCTTTTTCATGTTTGCTTTAATATTTTTGCTATGTATATATGCATAGACTATGTACATAAATATAGTTTTATAAGATATATATGATAAAAGAGTAATGCCTTTTATGACACACATTATCTAGTTTCAAATTACATAAAGTGTTAATTTTTGTCAGGTGTTTTATAAATAATTCAAAATTGAAATTTACCATGAAATGAGCATATAATACATTGATATCCAAAAGTAAAAGTCCACTTTAAAGTACTATTTGGAAAATGATGATGTCACATTTCTAATCAAATACTGTATAAATTTTTATAAATTCTGATTTATTTACATTACAAAAAAACACAGATATTACATAAAAACTGCAAATACAAAGCCCACCAGATAAAGAAAACAAATTTTCAAATAAAGATAAAAATTACATCATTAATTTCAGATCTTATTACTCTACACTTTATAGTCAGCATGCCCACAGGTTATTAATGTAAATATAATAATGGAAATAATAGTAATGGCCACAGCTTACTTAACTTACTGTTTGTCAATCACTATAATTCATGCTTTTTACATTCACATCTTGTTTAACTATGTTAAGGAGATTATTAATTTTATTTTCAGTTTACAGAAGAGGAAAACAGGGGCCTACACAGACTAAATGACTTGCCCGAGATACCAGGTTTGGGGATAGAGGGATCTGACTCCAGGCTTATCCTGCTGACCACACAGTCAGCACCTGGCTCCTAGCTCCACTGTCTCTGGACACATCCTCTGAAAGCATTAAAGTTCATTTCCTTTAATGGAGAAATAAAGCAAGATTTATTTAAGTCACAGACCTCTTGGCAGAATGGCCAGCAGGGGGGCTCCAAGAGAGACATAATCTGAAGGGGTTGGTGGTAGTGGGATTATGAAGTACAATTTTGGGAAAGAAAAAGACTTGACAATTCAGTTATAAGGCAAGGACAAAACCTATCAAAAGACCTGATCCGTACTCTTACTTGCCGAGGGGTGGGGTAGGTAACCTGTTTTTACAGTAAACTGTGAGAGCTCTGAAGGATGGGATTGCCCCTCCCTTTCTATTCTCATGATAAAATTGGAAGCTCCCAAGGAGTAGAGCAGGTACTTTCAACCTTGCTAAAGATAACTTTTTGGGGAAGCAAGCATTTTGCACCTTCAATTTTCACCAGGAACAGCCTGACTGCCTATTAACCCTTCTGACTCCCCATATTCCCTCCTCCAGAAGAATGGATCCTAACTTCTGTTAGGGAGTATGGGACAATGACCGCTCTGGCTTATTCAAGCTGGACAGGGGCAGAATAGAGAAAGGCAGTCAAGACAGGGTTCCAGCAGGAGGTGACCTCATGAAGGAAACACAGTGCTGGCTTGAAGAAACTGCTTCCATCTAAGGTTGCATGTGCATGGCCATCTAGAATTTCACTGTTTCAAGTCTGGAGAACATAAATCTAACAAGCACATTAAATACATAGGGTCTAAAACAAAGGACAGAGTCATTATTAGAGGACCCAACCACTGAGAGAAAAATAAAAACTAATAGAGGGGCTTGATAATAACTAGTTGGGCATTAAGGCCTGGCCAGTTAGGAGACCCAGATCTATCTCTACACATGGGATGCTGGAAAAGGCATACAAGAATGGTGTGAACCTCCTTATGGAAGGCACCCTGTTGACTTCCATTACCTAGCTGTCCTGGGAGGAGAGCTGGCCTGAATAGAAGGCAGGTGGCATCTGTAAAACGAAATTTACAGTTCTTCCTGCAAAGTTACTGACTCTACTTTGCAGTCCCCTCAACAGCAGTGGTTACTTTGGAAGCTTGCCAAGTGAAGGGCTTTTTCAGCTTAGAGCCAACAGGGTCTGTGGCTCTGACCTGGGCGTCCTCAACCCCAGGGCAGTTCCATTTCTAGTGACCCACCTATTGGCTGGCAGAGCTGCCAGGGCTCTTCAGAAGCTGACTTCTCTATCCACTGAAGCCCTGGCTTTCCACATCAAAAACTAATGCCACTTGAGGTATATTGGCCTGTTGGGTTTCCTTGCTAGGGAAAAGAATCTTCAAAGCACATTATTAATCATTTTATGTTATTATTATGTTTATTTTTCCATAGGAATTTCTGTAAAAATATTAATATGCATTATGCTATCCAAGATCCTAAACAAGTATTTTGAAAAATCTGAAATAAGGAGTGGTGTTTGTTATACGTTAGCACATAGGTATCTATCTTTCTTATTAAATATTAGAGAGCAATTAAATATGCCCCCTCTTCCTTGGAATTAAAGAAACCAGCCAAGTACTAAGATTAAAAGAAAAATAAATATTGGGAGAAGTAAGCAATAAAAGAAGGAGTAAAAAATCTCAGAACACATATTTGGATCAATAATTACTTCTACTGAGAACATTAATTTGGTCTTTTACTCATATAAGAAAAAGATGCAGAATTTAGCAGACAAGGATGATTTGAGTTAACCTCATACCCTCTGAAAATGGCACTGGCTCAGGCCACCATGAACAATGTCCCCTTTTCATTCCATCTCCATATCACATATCAACATCATTTCAGCTATTAGGCAACTGTAGAAAGCAAGGTCTTGGAACAATGTTGAGATGACAGGCACTTGCACAATGTGGCCACACAATGACAAACACCATCATATTTGTCTGAGTTTTCTTATTGACATAGGGTGTCACTTCTGCTCACAGTTCAATGACTGGTTGTCTAATCTAGATAGTCAGTTAACTCTAAGCCTCAGCTTCCTTGTCTGTGAAGTAAACTACCCAGCTGACCTCTAAAGCAATAAGACCTTGCCGTTTTAGGAATTCTACATCCAACACTCCAAGGTTTATGTCTTGTTTTCTACTTTCTGGGCATGTGATTTTTATGTATTGAGTGGTTTCTCACATTTCTTAATGTCTATATTGTAAACAATTTAAAGAAACTATTTATGGAGCCAAAAGAAAAAATAGGAACAAAGGGACTACCGCAAACATTTTCATTATTTCCTTCATTCACTTTCAAGGCTCTCACATCATTAAATGAGACATTGCTGCATAAACCCACAGATCTATTAAGCCTCAACAGTCTCTACGTGATGACAGGATACAGTCCTACCTACCTCCTGGGCGCTCGTGCTCTCCATCAGTGTGCAAAAGCATGGCAATGGGCATCCCTACGTTCTTCGATCTTCCAGCCACAAGCACATTTTTCCCAAATGTTTCAATTCCTTAAAATATAGAGTATGATTTAAATGCAGAATCAATAACAAGCAGCAAACTGAACATTTGAACAGCCTACTGAAACATTATTTAAAAAATTCTAATTAAATGTGGCTCATTATGTGGTTCATCCTTGATGTGCCCACATACATTATTTATAAATATTTCTTTTCATGCTTCTTAGATTTGTCTCTTTCTCTATGATTGTATCCTCATTTAAAAGTCACAAACATTCTCAAGTTGTCAAGAAAGTACTTTTAAACCTTGAAATTGATATCAAGAGTTAGCTAATATAGCCTTAAAATGTATTAGCTGCTAATTATAAAATAAGCAAAGTACAACATCAAGCTTAACTGGCAATCAAACTTTGTGCAAAGCTAAGAAAAAATGAAGTAGGGTAAAAGTTTTTTTTTTAATAAAACTCATGTACTTTGTGGGAAAGAACCACAAATAACTTACAGACATATTTGGACATGAAAGATAAAGCTAGTAACTAAACTACAGACCACTTCTCTGGGGCTCAATTTCTTCTTTTTTTTTAATTTATTTTTTTTAAGGAATACAAATTTCATAAGTACAACTTTAGGAATATAGTTAACTTCCCACTGTACCTGCCCTCCCACCCACACCCTACCCCTCCTCCTTCTCCCTCTCCCCTTGCCAGTACCATTCTCCACTAAGATTCATTTTCAATTAACTTTATACACAGAAGACCAACTCTATACTAAGTAAAGATTTCAACAATTTACACATACACACACACATGCATGCACACACACACAAACTGTTTGAGAACTAGTTTTACAGTTAACTCTCATAATATAACTCATTGAGGACAGAGGTCCTGCATGGGGAATTAGTGCACAGTGACTCCTGCTGTTAATTTAACAATTAACACTCTTATGTATGACATCACTGACCACCGAGGCTCTTGACATGAGCTGCCTAGGCTATGGAAGCCTTTTGAGTCCACAAACTCCATCAGTATTTGGACATGGCCATAAGCATAGTGGAACTTCTCTCCTTCCTTTAGAGAAAAGCACATCCTTCTTTGGTGGTCACTTCTTTCTGCTGGGGTCTTACAGAGATCCTTCATGCAGAACATTTTTTGCCAGTATCTTGGCTTTCTATGCCTGAAATGCTCTCACGGGCTTTTCAGCCAGACCAGAAAAACTTAAGATTTAATTCTGAGGTCAGAGTGTTAATTAGAATGATTTTCATTCTATAAGTCTGCTGTGTTGACTGCTTCCCATGTTGGAACATTCTCTCCTTTTCAATTTCTTTGTAAATAGATGAAGGCATTAGAATTCAGGTTTTTCCAGGTACTAACATTCTAAGAATATTATTCTAGGATCTGCTTTCACCTGGAAATTTTCTCTTTGTTAGAAAGCAGTATATTTAGAAAAGAGAAAGTGTGGCCAGAAATGGAAATGACAGTGGTGGAAGCTGGAAAATCATCAATATAGAAGGGATTTCAGAGTCAATTAAGGTTACAGTTAAAAACTTCTACAATCTCAGGAGTCTGTGAGGGCATCATTGTATCTAACACAGCTTAAGGGTAACTTTTTTTAATTAAATGTTTATGAGGAAAATCTGTCAATAAGAAAGTTGACATGGGATCAGCACCCTTCTATCAAAGGTAATGAAAAACATAACTCAATGTGGAGGGATTTCCATCAAAATACACAAAGTCTATAGTTTAAAAGTAGAGAGAGATATAAGTTATGACTGCAGTTCCTGCAACCTGGTATATGTTTTCTCCTTTCTAAAATATTTTTGAATATTCTTTAACTTCTATAACTTTTTACAGACTGAAGTTGCTTAGTTATTGTTTTCTATTACTCTCTAGGTCTGAGGCAATGCGTACATGCTTAGTTCAGCACCCAGTACCCAAATCTTGCACACCACAAATCACCTACCTGTTCTTTTTATTATTTCCCACACAGCACTGGCAGTGGCAGGGATGAGAGAATGCTGATCAAGGCACAGTCTTCCAATGTTGATAATATGAAATCCATCAACATCTTTTTCCGGGGCAATTCCATTGCATATTGTTCGCTCATCCACGTGATCTGAAAAGTAAATAAAATTAGTCTCATTTTCAAATTATTTATTTGGAAACCTAGAAAATGAAATTGAGGATCTACTGTCAGATCACTTAGAATTCAGCTCCACGAAGATGTAAAATCATTACACTTTTCTTTTCTGGCCACAAAAATAGTAGGTCAAAATGCTGTTGACAAATGTCTAGTTAATTGATGGTAGAGTGCATGCTATAGCAGGGCCAAAAGTTGCTAGAATGGTAAAAACAGAAAAAAGTAAGAAACAAAACAATACCAGAAAGAGTATGGTGCAGCCAAGTGTTATATCTTTACCTCAGTAAGTCTCCATACCTAAACAGTTTAAATTAAACTTCTCTTTGATATATGACATGATGCTAATAGGTTTCTTTTAAATTCTTTGAGCATTTCAGGATAAAAGGGCTTTGTTAAATGTTAAAATTTTTATAACATAATTAGTTCCTAGTTGCTTCTTAAATAACATAATGAAAAAGTAAACATAAAGTACATACACATACTTTTCCTAAAGTATCAGCCCACCAAAATCCAAAACATCACCACAGTTTGCTCCATGGAAGAAGGAAAGGAACATGATATGAGTAATGAACAAATCAAATCAGATGCATGATGTGAATCATTTCATTTTAAAAAATAAGTATAGAGGGACCAGTACTGGGGTGTAGCAGGTAAAGGAGCTGCCTGCAGTGCCAGCATCCCATATGGACACCAGTTCGAGTCCTGGCTGCTCCACTTCCAATAATCTTTTTTAAAAAAGTATAGAAATACAAAATCAATTCTTACTACTCCATGCAGATTAGCCTACCCTAAGTCCATGTACCTAATATTGTGAAATAGAAGTATATTTGCTACAGAAAACTTACTTCATCTGTTATACAATGGATGCCATTTATACACATTTTTTAAAACATCATCAAAACCCAAGTTCAAGTTGTTTTCAAAGATTTATGCCTGTATCATATCTTTTGTATTCTAAAAATAACTTGTCATCTTTCTTTAGATAGATCAATTTTATATTAGACTACTAATGTCTTTTAAATATACAGACTTGGCCATTTGAATCAGATTCAATCACAAATTGGGTTTTGAATCTCTCTCTAATTCATAGTTTTCCATATTCAATAATTTTGTTCATTCTATGCTGTTCTAGCAGGGTAAACCTCCATCTGTTTTCTCTAAAGTTAGAAGATTTTTTTATAGAGTCTATCAAGACTTTTTAAAAACTACCTGTCAATTTACTATTTGAAGACAAAAATAGTGTTTTTTATTGTTTTTTTTTTAATCTGGAGATGATGATTGTGGTGATGATGATGCTGAGTCATTTTTAATCACGTATACTCCTACAGAAGAGGGTATTTTTCATGATGAAAAGAAAGCATTTGAAACAAAAAGAAAAACAACTATATTGAAGCCTCTGTCTGTTGATCTGGAACTCAGATTGGTTCATTTCTAACCTCAAAATTAACTAACAGATATGTAGGGACTGAACTATTGATGAAAGAACTCAGCAAGGGCTCTTTTAAGTTTTAAGAACCTTCTTCTTATGAATAAGATTGAGCTAAACTGAATTTTGCTACCTGCTAGTCTGTGCTGTCCCATTCACTGCAAACAACATTGACATTGTCACAAAACATCCATTTTGTACACCAGATGAAATACAGGAGGGACTGGTGCTGTGGCATAGCTGGTAAAGCCTCTGCCTGAAGTGCCAGCATCCCATATGAGAGCTGGTTTGAGCCCTGGCAGCACCACTTCCAATCCAGCTCTCTGCTATGGCCTAGGAAAGCAGTAGAAGATGGCCAAAGTCCGTGGGACCCTTCACCTGCGTGGGAGACCCAGAAGAAGCTCCTGGCTCCTGGCTTAGGGTAGGCGCAGCTCTGGCCAGTTGGGGAGTGAACCAGTGGATGGAAGACCTCTCTCTCTCTGTGCCTGCCTCTCCTTCTCTCTGTGTGTAACTCTATCAAATAAACAAATCTTTAAAAAAAAAAATAAAAGAAAAGAAAAGAAATACTTGAGAAGAAAGGTAAGCACTGAAAATTTAGGAAGTCAGAACTAGAGACTGGTGACTAGAAACCTGTCTTCTTGCGTACTTCTTGTAGTTTAATTTAGATCGTAACTCAGATTCCCATTTTGGAACAATTTTGTCTTACTCTACTTACATGTTAATAGTTTAAAAGACAGATGTGTGCATATATAAAAGTATGACATAGGGGATTCATAAAAACTAAGTCTATTTAGCCTAAAGAGAAATGTCTCACACATGTAGATAAAAAATGCTAAGATCATAAAAATCAAGAAAGTAAATTCATATATCATTTTTATATAACTGTGTTATCTCAGCAGTGGATTAAATCTCACACACATCCTTTGCTTGGAAAAATCTACCTTTTATTATGTCATGTACAGCACATAACAATAATTTGAACCAGTGTTTCTTACATTTCAATAGTGCTTTCAGATGGCCAGGTTACCTTCATTTCAATTACCACTTTGATCTTCATATCTACCAGGGACTAAGGTAGAAGAAATACTGTCATTCCCATTGTTAAGATGAAACTCAAAGAGTTTGAGATTCGGCCAATCCCAAACTACTAAGAGGAGGCTCTAGAATTCAAATCTATCCATATCTTTCTGTTCCATAACCAGTTTTTCCCTCTGTAGCATACAGATATCAAAACAAAGATTAACCCTTTTAAATGCCATTTTAAAATTTAAATCAAACAAATTTTGCCATCCAAAGTCCTAATTAGACACTTGCTAACCCTAAAATATCCCAAGGAATGTGTTTCTTTTAGACCTCCAAAGAAAACATTATTTCTAGATTAGTAACAAATGTTTAAGTACTTGCAAAAAAATCTTGTACAACTAATATTACTTCCTTTTGTTATATGGGTAAGAGAAATAAATACATTTCCTGCTTTTGACTGACTGCTACTAAGTCTCCTGAACTCTTCCCCTTGGTATACTTGAGAAAGGATAACCGTGAGACTGGGAAGCATCGACTTTCCCACAATGGTACTAACATATTTTGAGTCACAGAATAAATACACCGCCAACAATGAACCAGTTAATATGCTATCCAAATGAATGGGAAAACTAGCATTATTCACTTTCTCTGTTTTTATTCTTCTATTTAAGATTATGATAAATCACTTAATCACACTAGAGGGGGAAGTCATCAAATTAAAATTACAGTACTATAAGAAAATAATTCAGAGAACAACTTTAGACATTGTACAGTAGAACTACTATGCTGAATGTGCATTTTGTGATTGATTTATAATATATTTCATTGCCTTAAAACAATGAAGAAAAATAATTTTAAAAAATTATGATTTTCTACCTGAAGACTTTTACATTACTGGTATTTTTCCCTAAATATTTATTATTTGGAGGGGAGAATTACAGAGAAAGAGGAGAGGGGAAGGGAGGAGCAGAAAGGAGAGGGGAGGGGAGACATCTTCCATCAGCAAGTTCATTTCCCAAATGCCCACAACAGCCAGGACTAAGCCATGTATAAGTTAAAAGCCAGGGATGCCAACAGGTCTCCCACATGGGTAGCAGGGACTCAAGTACTTGGGTCATTTTCTGTTGCTTTCTCAGGTGCTTTAGCAGGAAACTGGGCCAGAAGAAATGTGGCCAGGATTCAAACCAGCAACTTGCATATGCGATATGATCATTCCAGTGGTATTTTGCTACAACACCTATCCCAAATTACTATTTCAAGGTACCTTATTCTATTCCCTCCATATTTGTTGGAAAGGCACAAGTTCATAAGCATATAAATAATGTGTTGTTAACATGATTATATCACTTCCCTACAGTGTCTTCCATGAGTACTCTAGCCCTCTTCCAACCATCATCATCACACTCTCCACTCTAGCCATACCAGATTGTTAACCCTTCCCTAAGCCCTTGCCACTAAGTTTTGCATTGCTATTGTTCATGACAATTTTTCAATTTTTCCACTAATTCCCTTTTGCTGCTTTTTTAAAAATATTTTATTCATTCTTCAATATGATATTCAAATGCCATGTTCCTTCATCACAAAATGAAATGATAATTATTTTCTCTTCTGCATAGAACTGCTTTAAAAAATGCTTAACACGTTTGTTCAGTTAGTTGATCATGTTAGGTCTTTAATTATCTCTGTCACACATGTGAGACTTATAAGACATAGATCTTATTAAACTGACTCACCTATAACCTTCATCCTTTCAGTTAATGGCAATTCCATCCCTTTCAGCTTATAAAATCAAAACAAAACAAAATTGGAACTATCCTAAATATCTCCCTTTCTCTCATACCCTAAATCCAATCTATTTCTAAAATCCTTTGGCTCTTCCTTCCCAATAAACCTAGCACATCAAAATCACGGCATCCCTCCTATGAATTATCGAAAGAGCCTCCTAATTGGTTCTCTATATCTACAATTGTACTCATATATCCATAAAACAGCAAGAGAGTTACACAAGGGATCTTTTAAAATGCATGCCTGATCATACCACCCTTCTCAAAACCTTGCAACATCATTATCTTTCAACATGAACAAGGCCCTACATGATCAACACAGCCCCAAATACTAGTTATCCATCTGTTCTCACCCCTGGTTACTTTTCTCTAAATCTTTTAGCATCATATGGGTTTTCTTGTCAAAAACATGAGGCATTTCCCTATCTTGGCTACACCTTTCCTTCTCTCTAGAAGGATTTCCCAAAAAAAATCCTGTAACCTTGGCTACATCCTGGCCTTCTTCCAAATGTCTTCTCAAATGTTACATTCTCAGTAATCGTCTCACTATTTTGGCCATACTATTTTAAAACGTAGATTCCATTTCTAATAATAGTGAAGTAGTTCATATTAGACCAAATTTCTCACAGAAAATAATTGCAAAACTTTAGAGAAACAATGGAGAAGCACCAAAAGCAGACATATTTGGAGGAGAATGGGTATTGGAACGAAAGGACTGCCACAGAAGAATCTTTCCATTGTAG